TTGTACGTATTGCAACAGTCTTTTCATTTGTATGTATGTGATTTGTACGTATTGCAACAGTCTTTTCATTTGTATGTATGTGATTTGTACGTATTGCAACAGTCTTTTCATTTGTATGTATGTGATTTGTAAGCCCTATGTATTGGAACGCTCTTTTCATTTGTATGTATCGTAACGCTCTTTTTATTTGTACTGCAGTGTAAATGGAAAATGTAGGGCATATATGTGTCACGAGCCTGTGGAATCAGGCGCTCATCAATTTTTGGGCATGTGGAGTTATTGGTATCATCTTAAAGGTTATTCATTTACCTTGCTTTCGATGAAAATATTTTCCATTTATCTTGAATAGAAGTGGAGACATTTGCGATTGAAGGAGGTGGGGTCACCTGGTTTCAGAAGTAAAATTAGCGAAAAAATAGCCTCCAAAGTTTGGTGACTTGCATAGCTAAAGGGTTTATTGTCCTGATCCCTCCTTCTTTTTTGTGTTTGTTACTCCCTTGTAACACTTCTAATCTTCGCCACTTATATGACCTTATTGTGTTGCAAGTGCCGTAAAACACTTACTGTGGGTGGCTGGCGGGTGCTCTGGTGTGGTTTGCTTCTTCTTTCCTATCAAACATCTATCGCCCTTATCTCCCCTTCTTCTTCTTTATGCTTGTTCCTCTCTTGTTGTAACACCTCTAGTCTTCTGGTGCTCATATGACCTGATGCAGCTGCGAGCGTCGTAAAACCTCTACTGAAACTAAAACACGTACTACAACTGAACTTGTTCCTTTGTCTGTCAGGGCTCACCAGTGAGCACGGAGGAAGAACTCAGAGCGGCCATGTCTATGTCAGCCAGGCTGGGGAACATCGCACTGCCAGGGGCCGGTCACATACTGCCGGGAGCTCTGCCCGGATACTTCCCTGCTCTACAAGGTGAGGAGTTGTGGGTTTTTGGTTGTTGTACTTGCTCATGCACTTGTGTACCCTGTCTCTCTCTCTCTCTTTCTGTCTCCCCC